AGGGAGTAGCTCTGCCTTGTGGCACCACTCTGGTGAGACAGTTTTCCCATGACATCTCCAGCGCATACAGTTCATCAGAGTAAGCTTCTCCAGGAGCAGGCACAGGAGACATTTGACCCACAGCCAGAGAAATCCTTTTGTGACTGTGTTGATTATGCTGCCCATATTACTTTTAATGTCCTTGTTCCTTCTGCAGTGCAGACGGTGATTTTGCCATTGTAAAATACACCAAAGTCCTTCTGGAGCACACAGGTCTGATCACCTGGACACCACCAGCTATTTTTAAGAGTTACTGTGAAATTATAGTCACCCACTTCCCATTTGACCAGCAGAACTGCAGTATGAAGTTGGGAACATGGACATATGATGGTACAGTGGTTGTTATTAACCCGGTAAGCAAGGAGTTTGTAATTGGAAAAGCAGCAAAGACCTGTACGTGTTTTTAAGAGAAATCTCAGATTTAGAATGGAATATGACCTAGTTTTGACTGGAAAAAAACAAGCAGACCCAACCTGTAAACCAGAAAATTCTCATTTGTAGATCTAGCAAAAAATTTCCTGGTTTGGCTCCTAAATTCTGCATACATATTATCCCTGTGCCCTAACAGTCTCCTGTCTGTCCTCTGGCAGCTTTGTACCACTTTTTTATGGTACTGCCTGTTCTGCTTCTGTTTGTTTTCTTGGTTTTGGGGTTTTTTTGAGGGTGCACATTTTCTCTGCTCAAGACTTTCCATTGCCAAGGACTCTTTCCCTGTCCCCTCAGATATGGCTCCTATCTGTAATATTTTTCAGTCTACTGTCCCTGACTGTTTCTGTAAAATACTTAGTTGAATGCTGTGTAGAGGCTGTAGCCTAAGACAAAATAACAGAGACAAGACTTGTTTACTCACAAAAAAACCCCCACAAAGTGCATGAGTTACTTGGAATCCTGTTCCTGAGTCAGACCTTCCAAGTTTTGATTTTGTTCAGAACACTTGGTATTAAGAATTTGTTTGGCTGTTTTGCTGCCAGGAGAGTGATCGTCCAGATCTGAGCAACTTCATGGAGAGTGGGGAGTGGGTGATGAAGGATTACCGTGGCTGGAAGCACTGGGTGTACTACGCTTGCTGCCCTGACACCCCTTACCTGGACATCACCTACCACTTCCTCATGCAACGCCTGCCTCTCTACTTCATTGTGAACGTCATCATCCCCTGCCTGCTCTTCTCCTTTTTAACAGGGTTGGTTTTTTACCTACCCACAGATTCAGGTATGTAAATTAATTCATCCTACTTCCATAGAAATTGCTCTTCTAAGAAGTTCCTGGGAAATTCCCAGTATTTGAAATCATCAGCCAGCTTGAAGGCTGGTGCATATTAAAACTGGACATTTCCACTGAAAGTAATGGCTTTAAATATTCTGCAAAGAAAGGATAAGTGCTGAAAACTGAAACTGTTGATATAAATAAATACGGGTGCTTTAAGTTCTGCAAACTAAAGATTTAGCTGGATAATTTTAATGTTTTGCCATAGGTAGACAGTGTGTTAGTACATCCTGCAGTTAATGAGCACACAGGGGTGACAGAGGCCCTTCTGCATCATGTCAGAGCAGAGGGCTCATTGCGTGCTCACACACACATCACCTTGTGTGGCACAGAGTAATCCTGACCTGTTCTGGCCTCCTTTGTCTCTGCTGAGCCACTTGGGCTCTCTGCAACCATTTCCTCTGCTTCATTGTTTTTGCCTCTTATCAGCTTTTCATACCACTTAATCTCAGTGTAAGCCCCTTCTTATGAAATACTTGGTGCATTTTTTTGAGTGGAAAACTTCATACAAAGTTGAACTGGATAAAAGAAATGTGTGAATAATGTCTTATAATTCAAGTTTTGACACCCTCTACACATGAGGAGATGTTGCAGAGCAACTGACCTGGTATCAGATGTGATTTTAGTCTGCTCTCTGCCCAGAGACAGAGAAGAAAACCTCAGGAGGCTGTAGAGCACTAATCAGGTACATATGCTGCATTGTTCAAAATGCAGAGACCACAAAATGCTCCTAGCAAGTAAAAATATCCATCACCCACATTACCCAGTCACTCCTGGTAATTCCCACCTTAGCGCTGGAGCTGGTGCTGTTAGGCTCTCGGGTTTTCCCAGCCTACTTACTGCTCTGGATGCTGGCAGAGATGATTGCACTGAAAATGCACACTGGTGTTTGTGTGAACAGTTCTCACCCATATCCTGCTTCTCAAATAAATGCTCTCTGTACTGAATGATAGGAGCAGCAATGATTTTTGGGGGCTTTTTTATGACAGGTGAGAAAATGACTCTCAGCATCTCTGTCCTGCTGTCTTTGACTGTGTTCCTGCTGGTCATCGTGGAGCTGATTCCCTCCACGTCCAGCGCAGTGCCTCTGATCGGCAAGTACATGCTGTTCACCATGGTGTTCGTCATCGCCTCCATCATCATCACCGTCATCGTCATCAACACCCACCACCGCTCCCCGAGCACGCACACCATGCCCCCCTGGGTCAGGAAGGTGAGCTCTGTGGCTTGGCACACTTGGCTGGTTTCCACCGAACGCTCCATATTTTATTGGCAGGTTTTCTAATAAAAGTCAAAAAGAATTGGGGAAGTAAATGCATCATGTTAAAGGTGTCTAGGCACAAGAGCCAGTGTTTCCTACTTAGCTGTACATAAAGTCAGCAAGGTTGCTTAAGTACTCCTTTAAGTAACAAAAATCGTTCACTGGGGTACAGTGTTGCAGGGAACAGGTGAGACAAGACATGGGCAGCTGAATGTAGGGAATGGAGAAAAGCAAATGTCCATCTGGACTTGAATTACATATCCTGCTCTAATTCTCCGTCTGATTGCAAGGCACTGCTGCCTGCCAGTGACCAAGTCCACCAGCCTGCACGAGTGTAGAGCATAAAGGCCAGTGGGAATACCTGAGTTCAGAATCCCATTTTGCAAAAGATGGTTTAGCAAAAGCTAAAAAATCTTCTCTGTACTTTTCCAGTATACAGTTGCTCTGCAGCCCTTGGGCTATCCTTGCACAGGAGTCCAATGGTAATGATAAGATGTAGAAAAAATTGGTTGTCTGTCATTACAAGTTCTTTGCCAGGGAGACAGTATCAAAGATCATCTGATTTATTCAGCAATCCTTGCTGTTTTGAAGCCTGCCTGGGTTCATACTAAACCCTGACATGAAATGAGGTTTTTCTGTGTATTTCTAATTATGCTTTTAAGGTTACAGGTTATATTGGATTCCCTCTGTAGCCCAAGCAATCCCTGCAGAAGGGAACTTTCAACAGGAAATGCTGCATGTGCTTAACATTGCTCTGGCTACAAGTCTCTATCACTCCAAAGAAATTTACTGTAAACCTTACATGCCTGTGTAGCAAACATTCATAACACTGAAATCAAACCTAAGTAGCCAAGAGAGTTTCTTTGTAGTCCATTCTTTGAGCCAGATTTGTAGGCAGTATGTTTGAAGTTAGATGGGATGGCTGGAGCTGGGTCGTGCTCGCTGAGGCCCTGCTCCGTGGCACCACTTCCCGAGAGGATGCTGGGGGCACAGCAGCAAAAATGGCTTTTGGGAAGCGTGCGGCAGGCCTGCGGGTGACTCCCTCTGCCCCGGGCTGACAAAAGCCCCATGTAACTAAGGCGTGGGCAGGGACACAGTCGGAGAGGGAATCTGTAGCAGGCCCAGCAAGGGAGGCGATCTGGGAGGGGAGAGGTTTGTCTCTGTTCAGCACACAGCTGCAGCTGTAACAGCCCCACAGACCAGCAACTGTCATCTTCTCCCTTTGTTTTCAGATCTTTATTGACACAATCCCAAATGTCATGTTTTTCTCTACAATGAAACGACCATCGAGAGACAAACAAGACAAAAACATTTTTGCAGAAGACATTGATATTTCTGACATTTCTGGGAAGTCAGGTTCTGTGCCTGTCAACTTCTACTCCCCACTTACCAAAAATCCAGATGTGAAAAACGCTATAGAGGGAATCAAATACATTGCGGAAACGATGAAATCGGACCAAGAAGCCAGTAATGTAAGGCACTTTTTTGTGCATGATTCATTTCCAGCTTTCAGGTTGCTACATCTTACTTTTTTGGCAAAATATCCCTGCCTTACAAAAACACTCCAAGTCCTGGCTCTAGCAGTGGACATCTTCTCTCCTTAATGAAGTCAGCAAGGAGCAACAAATAATTGTCCCAGATGTTAATTGAATATTGGCTCCCCAAAATAATAGAAAAGGAAAAAGTGTTAGTGCTAAGGTTTTCTTATGTGATATCTGAAGCCATAGAGATGGAGTGTCTGTGAGTAGGAAACCAGTTTCAAGAACTGTAAGCAAGTTCCAAAACACATTTCTTCTGTCTCCCACTCAGGCATCTTGCCCCTGTGGTACGATCATACTGCTATTGAAAACCCAGGAATCAAGCCAAACTCCACAAGACTACTAGTGTTATCTGAGAAGTGCTAAATGTAACTTAAAAATGGTATTTCCAATTTTGATAAGGTTTTGTTTTATTCCTGAATACTACAAGTAGTTTCTCCAAATGAAGCATGGCATGAGCTACTCTGAATACTGACTTTTTCCACATTGCAAGCCAAAGGAAGGATAAAAGCATAAAAAGTCACACATGGCAGTGTTCCCTAGGAAAACCTAGCTCTGCCTCCTTCTAGCACATTCGGTACAATTAACCCCTCTTTTATTTCAGCTCACACAGCTTTTGCAGGAGTAATTCAGTCCTGATATTTCACCTTCCTAAGTGGTCACAAACCTCTCCTGTTGAGCTGCAGGCTAGTTTGAAGACAGAGGGGTTCTCTGAGAAAATAATTTGACCCATGCTCTTGCAAAGGAGGTGCTTCCTTCCCACAGACAGGATTTACACCACGGTGTTTGCTCCTGCAACCAAATTCCTGGAGCATGTGAAATAGCTCTGGCTGTAGTCTCATGTTCCCTGTGACTCCTTTGCCTCTCTGCAGACAAATTGTTGTTTTCAGCAGGGCTGGCATAGCTTCAACATCTCTGGGCTTCACTTCCTCCTTGGCTTACAAGGAGGTTCTTCAGGTTACCAGCAAATGCCCCCTTCGGAAGTGGAGCCCAGCTGTTTGTGTCATCGGGGCACTATTGATGTATCACTTCCAGGGGGTTTCAAAAGTCAAGTTCCCTAAATAAACCTGAAGGTTGCGGCTTCTGAAGGCTGTCCCTTCTCTGCATTCACTTCTGAACCACCTCAGAACAGTATTCATTATCAGAGTGTCCTCTAGATAAATTACAACAGCCTCTTCTACTTGTGGGAGAGCCAAGGCACAAGTAGAAGGTGCTTTAGGTCAGCACATGTCACTGCTTAAGGCGGACTTATGGGGTGGAAATCATGAGCCCTGCTGTACTTGGTGCCTTGCCCTCTGCATGCTCTTACTGTGATAGGTTCCCACCAAAAGCATCCAGTGAAAAGGTACAGAGCAAGCGGTTCATGGTGTCCCACAACTGGAAAAAAAGACTGATGGAGCTACCAAGAAGGTTTTGCAAGGCATTAGAGTGGTATGCAAAGCAGGGATTAGGGTTAAATTAATAGGAATTGCCTAGATATTTCATGAGAACAAAAAAGCAATGGAAAAACAAGTCAGTCGGGTCAAGCTAAGAGTTTTGCTTTCAAGATTTTAAACTCACTTTCAGAAGCAACAATTGACCTAACAATTAAGCTTTTCAACATTTTTTTTAATGAAATTGTTCAGCAAATTGCCAGGGTTTCTGGTTAGTTTAATGTTGAAACTTGTATTTCCAGGTTGCTTAGGCTTTCTTAACCACTGACCTGCTTTTGAGAAGAAAATGAGCATTTTTTGCATAGAAATAATGGCACTTATGGAAGAGCCTTCCCCTTGTTCAAGGCAGTAAATTACAAGAATGCTGTAACAAACACGGCTCTGCAGAGATTTTACCATTTCCTTTGTTTCTTTCCCAGGCTTCAGAAGAATGGAAGTTTGTTGCAATGGTGCTTGATCATCTCCTCCTTGGCATATTTATGCTAGTTTGTTTTATAGGAACATTAGCTGTATTTGCTGGTCGCCTTATTGAACTAAATCAGCAAGGATGAATGTCATCTGGAAACTATTTGCTACCCTGAACATCTGAAAGCATCATAACCATCAAAATCTGGCCAGCCTCTGAAAGGTTCACTGACAGGAATCAGTAACTGCTGGGAAAAAGCAGGGATAATAAAATGTAAGGCTCCATACTTAGCACTTCTGAGCTGCTGCTCAGTAGCATTTAATTACTAAAAAGAAACATTTGCATTGCTGGTAAACTTGAATGGCTGTCAGCCAGGTTTTGATCCATTTTACCCTTTATTAAAAATGTTAATGTATTAATAAGACTGTCTGACTTTGTAAGCAACAGATACTATTCCAGTGAAGTCAACAGCAGTGTAATAAACTTTAGCTGAGCTGTAAATCTGTATCCACCTTTAGCATTCAGGCTGGTTTTAATATCTGTTCTGTGGATTTTGTATTAGGAGGGTCACTCCTCTGATAACACTAGATATAACCCTCAAAATATCTCAAACTCCATGCTTAAGCACTTGATTTTCATGCACAAATCTGAACTGACTGACTGTCATGCGTGACTCTGCCCATAGAAGCTCTTGCTGCAGCAAAGAGGAGAGACTTGTTCTTTACTGGGGGAAGGGTCCAGCCAATTCCTAGGATGATCTCCACATTCAGCCTGCTCTGGTCTTGGAAGGTTGGTTTCCACTCTGCGTTTGGAGTGATGACTGATGTGGGGGCACCTTTAAACTTGGGGTTGTTTATTTAACCACGATTCTCTCTGTTTCCCGGAACCTGTGCCCTGGCCCGCTGAACAGCCCGTGAGCAGCAGCGTGCCCAGCACACCGCCAGGGAAGGCAGGGCTCTCAGCTGTGCAGCGCCAGCAGCTGCCAGAGCTTTGCTCAAAAGTTGAGCAGCAGCTCTCTCTGGTGGCTAAAGCAAAGCAGTTCTGCCTCTGGCCAAACACCGCCGGACTTGGGTTACTCCAGATTCGACGTAAGCAAGAAGCCTCTCTGCGCTTCCATAATGCGGTGTGGCAATAGCAGCAGTGCTGCCTCTTCTCAAAAATAAATAAGGATAGGTGGGGCAGCAGCGACAAGTTACTCATCTTTTCCAGCTGCTCGTCCAAGCCAAGAGCACTGCTTTGCTAACAGCTGTAAACAATTTGCCATGAGTTTAGTAAAATAATTTGTATTATGTTAATGCTCCACAGAAATGTGTCATGCCTGCAGAGGACAGGCATTTGAAGCACTATAGGGAAAATGAGGCATTTGAGTAACACTCCCAGCATTGCGCAGTGTTTGCTGGACAATGTTTTGGTGAGCTGCAGTCCTAAGCAGTTTGTCTGGGGTACTCGATCACTTGTAGCACTGTGCTCCTCTGCTCTTACGGTTTAAAGGATGGTAATCTTTGCCTCCCTGGATGATCATTAACCCTGAAGTGAAGGCCAAAGATGCATTGCTGGGCGACACCTCTGCTGACAGAGTGTTCAGTGCAGCTGGGTTTGTCTCCGGTAGGAGTTCCCAGCTCCCAGCCCTTGGGGAAAATCAGCAGCTCCCTGCTCACGATGAGCTAAGCTGCAGCATAATGGTGCCCGGAACTTAATTTGAGAGCCTGTGATTGGCACTAAAATTGACAGAACAATCCTCTTAGAGCAGCATGTGGTTGAATCTTAGCATTAAAAATAAACATCAAGTAACAAGATTCATGGTGAGCATCTACAGTATCTTTGTTCAGCTTCCTCAAGGCAGATCTGAGTCTTGAGGCCTTCAAATTCCCCCCATTTGTGTGTCAGAGTGAGTGTGTGCACGTGTTTGCCTGCCTGTCTGCTTCTTCAGCTCTCCTTATAGATAGCTAGGTACCAGTGCTTTCCTTCTACTTCCTCAGATAAAGGTTTGAAACTATTTATTCAAAAATTTTCATTTGTGATGGTTTGACCTGTCTTACAGGCACAGCAAATCTTCTGCCTTTCTGTCACTTTGACTCTTGATGAGCTAGTTGTGTATCAAAAGATGTGACAGCCGGCAAAAATAAATGCTAACAACTTCCCTTCTTAGGTTGCATATTCTGGGCATTGTACTCTGATTCTCCAAGCATCAAATCAGGGCTTTTTTTTTTTTTGAATACTTGGACTGTACCAGCCCCTATTTTCTCTTCCTAGATCACCTTTATGATATACTTTTCTTGCATACTACTTGTATGCCACTAAGATCCCCTGTTACCAGTATCCATCTACTGACAGAATACCCTTACTTACCTGCAGACTACCTCCTCTCAACTGCTACTGTCCTTTTAATGTCAGGCCCTGCTAAAGTAGCAGCTTTGGAGGTTGTAAATATTCTGTCTCAGTCACAGATAATCCATTCTCAATGTGTAAGTATTTATAGTCTAATGATTTCTCATTTACAGCCCTGTAGCCCCACCATGCAACCTTAACACTAAACTCTCCTCTCTCCTACATGGGTTGAATCAGCAGCCCCAGGGAGATGACCCTGCATAATCCTCTGCAACCCACACATGCATCTCTGCTGCCTCATTGCCTTAAAAAGGCATATTTCAGCCCTGAGCTTCAATTAACAGATCTCATGATAAGCAAAGCAAGAAACAGGCATCACACACTCATTGTTAAATTTCTGTTAAAAAAGTATAAAAAATAATGACATATAAACACCATGGTGCTGAAGTAAGCAGACCTCATTTAAATGAAGGCAGACCAGGGGCATCTGGGTGGGAAGCTGTTGCTTAAATATAGGTGCATATATATATAGCTTCCTGGAATGTCTCCGTCTCTTTCAGTTTCATTCTCTTTACAGTTTCTCAAACCATTTGGCAGTTAACTTTCCCCTTCCCATCGATTTAGCTGACCTCAGCTACTCTCTACTGTGCCATGGATATGTTGCTCTCAGAGGTGCAGCCACCCCCAAATTTCGTTCCTCTTTGGCACTTGTGCTCTTCAGGAGACCTGACTCTTCTGAGAGGGTTATTTGACTTTTTAAAGTCCCTTATCTTGTAGCAGCTCCAAGGGAGCGGTTTCACCTCTGCATGAGTCTGTAATCAGAACAGGCTGCTGCTCTCCATCCTCACCAGACAGCTGAGCTGAACTCGATGTCCTTATTCTGTCTCTTCAGCCAGCTGGATCTTGGCTTTATAAAATGTAGTTGAGCTGATCAAGAGAGAGAACAGAAAAATGACACTCACTGAACTCTAAGCACTTGATCAAGAGCTTCTGTGTGCCAGGTGTGATCATCCATCTGCCACCAGTGCTTGGGTCCCACAGCCCCCTTCAGTTGGAGAGTTTTTTAAAAATCAGATTATTGTTTCAGGCAATTGTAAGACAAGTTCAGAACTCTTTTCTTTTCCTCCACGATATAAGTTGCTCCATAAGTGCATAAACACTGTGCTGCTGGTGAAGAAAGGGAGCACATTACCTCCCTGAAAGGTTTGTTTTCTGGTATGGTGACAGGCAAGATACCACCTTTAAAGTCACCGATAGTTTAGCACATCAGAAATGTTTTTGACTTTGGAAGGTTGCTGTCCATGACTCCAGTCACAAGACCTCACATTTTCATATGTTTACTCGAGTTAGATAAATTCTAGCACAGCCTCCAGGCCCCTAGGCATGCTGCTGACTATAAATTACTTCTCTCTTTCTTTTCTTAAAAATTGTGAAACTGATACAAAGCCTCTCCAGCTTCTGTCACCTGAAGGTTGCAGAGACACTGACTTCTAACAAAGCTCTGGAGTACTCATCTCTTTCTGGAATTCAAATCCCAAATACAGAAAAGGCAATCATGCACTGCCTTGCAAAAGATTCTCTAAAATGATCGTACTTCAGTTCCTGATAAAGTTTAAGAGACTGACAGCTATGGAAAAGAGTCATCCTGTAGGCAAGCGTTTCCATGCTCACTGTGAGAGCCATACTGAGTCCTGCTGGCTGCAGGTCGGTTTTCTACAGCAAGGACAGGACAATTTCACTTGTCACCATGCAATAGGGCAGCCTGACCAGCAGGCAAAAGTCCAAAGAAGTTCGTAGGCTACTGCAGCACGGTGATGAGGGATCACTCCCTGGATTCCCTGTAAAGGGACAATTCTTTCCTAGCAAGGGTTGTAACCATTTCCTGTCATCCCAGCACAGATCTCCCATTGCAGCACATCTTCCCAGCTTCTAAAAGCTGAGCAGATCTGTATCAGTGTTTGCTATTTATCCCATATGGAGCCTGGAACAAACATATCACGTAGTATTTCCCCAGCATGTGGACAAGAGGAAGCTGTTTGCCTCTACGTGACTTTTCAGCTAACCAATGACCCAAATGCAGTTTGCCCTGCTTAAGAACCTCATGTGGATTTGTGACCCTCTTGAGGGAGCTTTGGGACTGTAAAGACAGTAAACACAGAGTACCTGCAGTTTTACTATTTGTGAGCACTGAAATTTTTGCTTGCAAGCTAATCCACATTGTGTGCATGGGTCAGAAAAAGGTAAACATAAAAAATTGTACCAGTTTTTGTTTGTCTTGTAATGCTCCAAGCATACAATGACACAGAAACAGAGAAATGACCTACATAAAAGCCTGGCAAGGTTTCCAGCCTTCTGCTGAAGACAGCATAGTAATGCCTTTACTCTTATGACAGCATGTCCTGGTGAAAACATGAAAGTTGCAGCAGGTTAACCTAGCACACAGGTTACTCAGTCTTTGACCTTGCTGGGACATGTTGCTACAAGTGAATCAAGAGCATGTTTCAGTTCTTCAGGATACCTGTCCCTAACATTTTTATTTTAGGTAACAGTGTTATATAGCTGCTGGGCTGGACCATGTCTATGCACGGAGTAAACAAAAAACATCTGAACACCTTCAAAATGTGAAATCCTACAGAGACAAAAGCACGTGAGATCGATGTTGGCTCAAACAGACATCCAGGACGCAGTTCTTGCACTTCAAACTTTGTTTCTATCTGCACAAGCGACTCCATTACATATACTTGGGCATTTTTCCATCCAGAACCTCATCGTTGGACATAAAAACATTAACAGAAATTTTGTTTCTAGAAAATTTAGTCAAGCTAAGGGGGGGAAGAGAACGGAATCTACTGCTTGTCTGGCAAAGCAATCTCTGCATGAGTTAATTGAGGTATGAAACACAAATACCTTCTGGAGCATCCTGCAGAGGGGTAATTGACCTTCCCGCATTACAGTATACTGCAAACCTTAACAGGGAAAAAGCGAGCACCTCTTTCCCACTGTTTAATTACGTTTCTACTCTACCTCTTCCCTGCTGGCTGCCATCAAGGCCATCGGAGTCAGGTAGGGCAAACAAAGCGTGTTGAGAAGGCTGTGGCCCAGGGCAGCCCCGGGAGCAGGGCCGAGAGGAGCGGGGGCCGTGCCGCGGGCCGGGCAGTGAGGGGCGGCACGGAAAGCAGAGCTGCCCCTGCGCTGAGGGCACGGACCCGGGCGGGCTTCGAGCGGGACGTGTCCTCGGCAGAGCCACCCAAGTCACACTTCAGCCCTTGGCACTTGGGGACCCGAACCCATCTCGCTGTAAGGGGGCTCTCTGTAACTCTGACCGCTGTGAACTCCCGCTGGGCACCGGGCACAGAAGGACGGGGGCCGTCACCGGCACGGCGCGCCGCCTNGGGCTGGACGCGTTCTTCCTGCCTCCCGAAGCCGTGCTGGCAGGCTGGCATCCCTCCCCGCTTCCCCTCGCATTCCCGCTTCCCCCGGGGTTGGGCGCCTGCCCGCGGTGGCGGCCGGCGCTGGGCGCAGCCCCCGGCCCCCCTTGGCAGCTCGGACCGCCGGGGTGGTGCCTGGTGCCATCCTTGTCCGTCTCTGCTGCTGTACAGCCAGGGCTGTGAGGTCCTGCCTGGCATCTCAGGGTGGGCAGAGCCACGCTGGGGCCGCGGCACACACCGCTGCCTGCACGGGTGGCACCCGCAGGTGTTCGTGTTGCTGACTCCCTCAAGGGCTTTCATCTGCAGCGACGGTTGAGGTGGGCTGTGTACTTAGGCTTTATGGTGGAGTCAACAAAGTAGGTCTCTGCCCTCTGAGCTGGCTCTTGGGGGCTTTTTGGGAGGAATCAACTTACGGAACCACAAGTAACCAGTCTTCAGGTTTTAGCTTGTCTTGTACTTGTTTGCCTCTGCTACTCTAATGGCCTTGTTTGATCTTCTGATGAACACCTTCTGGAGTGCGGGGCTATGTGCCTTCTCAGAGAGTAGGTGTTCCTCAGCTACCACGTAGCTTGTTTGAGTGGCCTCTCTAAAACAAACCTGATAACAGCACTTGTCTCTGGCACCACGGTGTGCATGTTCAGGAGGCCACCGTGAGGAACTTCTAAATTACTCCTTTTCTCCTAAAGTGTATTCTCAAAAACAGGGCTGTGATAAGCAGCTGCTCTCAGTTTTGACCACCTGAGGATGGACAGTGTGTTTTGCTTCTCATTCACACCCTTTTTAACTCTGTCAACCTTCCCCTCTGTTTCTTCTGTCCACTAGCTCTTCCAAGCTCAATTTGGGACGATGGTGCAGAGACCCAGGAGGCCATGTAAAAAAAAGGACGTGCTCTCAGAGCCTCGTCTTGGGAGCCTTGCCTTCAGTGCAGGTGGGAGGGATGGCAGTGCTGCTCTGGCAGTGCTCCTTTTGGAGTGCCATGAACCACGAGGCAAGCTGAGCTGGCATGTACTTTCCCCTCTGCTGTGAGGGGAAGGAGCAGATGAGGAGGAAATGCAGCTGTTCCAGAGCACTTCTGCCCTCTGTCCAAAGGGAGCACGTGAGGGGGGAGGACAGACGCAGAAAGGGAGATTCAGGAAGAGAGTATGGGGGGTTGGGGAGGGACGAGAGGAAAGCTACAAATGGAGAGGAAAAGCTCTTCATGTATGCACAAATGTTATTTAAATATTTGTTTAGCTAGAATGAGAGCAAATAGCCTAAAATTACGAGATTGTATCTCTTGAATCCCTGTTATTGTTCCTCCAGAAAGTGCTGCTTTTCGTTCCTCGATTATTATGTGTGTCTTTCTGCCTCACTCTTCTAGGCTCTTCAGCATTCTCTGACCTCAAGCTGAGCAGGACGCTGCCCTTGGCATCTGTTTGTCAAATGTGTATTCTCTGTGTTGTACATGAAATGATTATTTCCATAGTTGGTTAAGGCAAGTTTCTGAGGAATGTGAAGCAAGAGGCACGCCAGTTCCTGTGGCTGGCCTTGACTGGAGTGCAGGCATTTTGGGACAGGGGCTGTGCCTGGAGACTCTAGTTACTCTGTGTGTTATCCTGGGCAGCTTAGAGATTCCTGCCTCTGCTCCTGTCCCTCCCACCCTTCTCTTAGGTCTTATTGCTGCTCACCTGTTCCTCTGCCTGTGCTGCAGCTGCTTTGGCCTCTCACAGTTACCTGTGGGGCTGTGCTGAAAAGCTCTGAAGTTTGAGTAAGGAGAAAAAGAGAGAGCAGCTACTCCCTTGTCTGTAGAGAATCCCCTCTCAGCCCTGTGCTGACTCTCCCCTGCAACCTGCTTTGAGACCCCTCACCCCAACAACTGGCAGTTAAAGCAGTCAAAGCTCTCTAATCCTATTTACTGCTCCTGCCTTGCTATTTCTTCTGAAATTACACTTTTAACTTTCTCCAGGATTAGTTTACTCTCTGAATGGCATCAGGTAGTAAGGTACTGTTTACTCTCTGAATGGCATCAGGTAGTAAGGTACTGTCTTTGGGGACTGCATGGCTACAAGACTACTAAACTTTTTTTTTTTTTTTTTAAATGGATAACCCAGTTACCTACCCCAGCAGGGTTTCATTGCTTTTACCTGTGTAGTACAGTCAGAAATGGAAGTGTGCACCTAAGAAAAGGTATTGGCTATGGATGGAGAAATTTCCCACCTATGATAACAGCTATGGTCTTTACACCTGATGATCTCCAGACCCCGAAAAAGCTGCTGAGAAGCACGAGCAATGCTAATCCCTTTGAGAAGGGAGCATGCTGGAGTATTTCTCTCCATTATGTACACTGCATAAAGTTCTAACAGCTATTTAGTGTTCTACCCTGCTTGTATAAACCCATCTGCTTTGTGGGGAGAAAAGTGTATGTTGATGTTGTCTGACATTTGTGACATGATAGAAAGGCATAGGGTTCCTTTGGAACACATGTATTGTTGATGGTGTACATATACAATTTAGTAAAATGTCTTTATGCAGCAGCTTTGAGAAATGTTCTGTGCTTTTAACTACCTTGAATCTTCATCTGGTTAATGGACTCGTGTATAGAAACCATATAAAATAATGATGCAGCAGAAGGGTGCGTTTCTTTAAAGTTTATGCTTTTGCCAAGGTAAACATATCTTAATTACAGCTTTGTCACAATAATGAAGTGTTATCAAAATTTAAATCTAATTAAATACTTTTGTGTTCTTTCTACTGATTTCTCTTATTCTTGACTCCAACACTTTCTCATTTCCTTCATGTGGAGCACTCTAACATTTGGTCTGTGGGATCTATTATAAAAAGGGCCTGTTTACTGTCTCGGTTCAAAATCCGTGATGCTAGCTGTGTTTGAGTAGGGGTGTGGAGACCCAGTATATGGGGAGATAATTAAATTCTGGGATGGTGGAACAGATTTTGGTAGTACTGAAGAAGTGCGTAGTGTAAGTAGCCACAGATCTTCAAGGCAGCTGTCTGTCCTGTGTGCAGTTAACACCTACTTGTTCAGCTCCTTACTTCAAAGAGCTACGCAAAAACCTGTTATTGAATAATAACTGCTGAACTGTTAGTTGGCAGATAGCCCAGAAAAGGCATTATTAAAAAGTAAACTTAATAAAGATGTCAATAACCATACTTTAGTGGCTTGGTTTAAAGTAATTTGTGTTCTTCTGGTGACCGGTATGATAGCATAGTGCTCTCCTGAAGCACCAGGTACATGTGTGAATATGTCTGGGTATCTGGAGAGGGGGAAGGAGAATCACAAACTATTTACTGTGTTAGTGCTCTGTTGTGATTCTCTGTTAGGACTGTGTTGCTGCTGCTGAGCTGAGAGCGAAATCTGAATAGTAAAAAGGTTATCTTTATCAGTGGCAATAACCCTGAACATCAAGGCCCTGCAAGGTACTGGAGTTGGTCTTCATCCTTGCAGGCACACAAGTCTGCAAGTGCAGCTGTCCTTGGGCCTCATCCAACACAGTTCACAAAGATTAGTCAAGTGTCTCTAAGGCTGGAGACACAAGTGGCGGGGGAGCAGTTTCGTCTAAATCGGAGAGATCAAAGGAGTTCAGAATATAAAGCTTTTCCTAATTCCTGGAAGGAGATAAACGGGAAGCACAAGGAGTAGTTTGAGAGTCTGTTTTGTAACACTTAACTCTGCCATAACTTCATTAGTGCTCTTCATTTTAAAATTACAACTGTAAAAAAAATCCAATTACACATAAGTACGCTTTAAAGTTAAAATGTATAGTTTTGTAATTCCTTAAACTACTAATGTTGTAGAAGCAGAAGTTTCTAAGTTTTAATTTGTTCATGTGACACCCCTCATCTTTAATGTCCTCAGTGTGTGTATGTATGTAGCTCCCACCATTTCCTTCTTGGGATAAAGCCCATGAGAAGGGCCCTCCTGTCTGCCCATGCATGCTTTTCATGAGAGCCCTCTTTCCATTTGTGCTAAGGTTGAGCACATAACTCCTGTTGAAGAAACTACAGGATATTCTTTAAAGGGAAGTAGTACAGATGTTAAAATAAATGCTCTTAGCAGCTTCAGTGAGCCCAAAATAGCTTCTGCGTGTTTCTCTTATGATAAGTTCAGGAAATGGGGTGATTCCCTCTTCCTCCCTCTTTGTAATATTTTGAGAGCTGAAATCCTCTTGCCATGAAGAGCAGGCAGTGTGGAGCAGGCTTTTCTGTATTTTTCTGGGCCTTGACTTAACGAGGCCAGAAGCAAGCCCTAAACAGAAGTCGCATTCCTTGGCACAGTGTCCTGCTTCGTACAAAAATTTCCAGTAAGGTCCTTGGTGGTGAGTTGGGGCTAACCACTGAAACTGGTTGTCCAGAGGGATTGTGGAGTCTGTTGTTGGAGATGGTCTAAAAACTGGATAAGGCCTGAGCAATCTGCTTGAAGCCAGGTTAGCTCTGCACTGAACTAGATGAGATCCAGCAGTTCCTTCCAGCTGGCTGTATGCCGTATTTTTGCATTACAGGGGAAGCATGGCTGCCTTTGTCTGTCCCCAAAACCAGTGGGAATAAAGGTAGTCTTAAAATACCTGAAAATGCCCTTGAGAATTCTGAATAAAGACTTCAAAAATGTAGAAGTATGTAGAGGAGCATAGCATAAGGCGGTAATTTTGCCCAAAGTCTCATAGCAGCAGGTCAGTAATAGTGCTGGGAGAGGATCATAAATCTCTTGGCTGGCAGACTAGTGCCTTGGTTGCTAAAAGATTTTGTCTTCACACATAAAACTTTTTCCCTACCTGACTATTTTCAGATCATTTGGCAACAGATGCTTGCCTGCTGAGAGATACCATATTCCTTTTTTATTATTATTTTTTGCCTTACCTGTCATGTTCACAGGGAGTTTTAGTACTAAAGAAAAATGTAGTGCATTGACTTTTTCAGAAACCTAGAAAATTTGGTGAAACAAAGACAAGAGCTGCAAAGGAAATTTTTAGAAAGTGATGTTATTCCCAGTTAGTTGCACAACAATTAATCTCGTATTTTTTAAGAGCAGAAAATAGCAGACAAAGCTGTACACTGAATCGAAGTTTGAATCTCTCTTTGTTTAAAAAAGAAAAATCACTTGAAAACTCTTAAAAATCTGGAAGCTAAGAAGAACACAGATCAGCATTTCAGAGAGTATCATGGAAGGAGTTAAGCTATGAGTTAACTGCATCTGTGTTTCAAATCCAAATGCTACGAACAAGGCACCATTCAGATCTTCAGTTATAAGTTATGCTGCATTTGTTATGCTGCGTTTTTTTTTAAATTCTGTTCAGAGGAGAAAAAGAAAGCCATATCAGATGAAAAAAAAAATCATTACTCTTGTTTTGGTAGCTTGTTTTTTAAGTGATGAAGGAGTCTTTTTTTTTTTTTTTTTTTTGGTCTAGCACTTACACAGGTCATCTGCTAAGTATTAGCAGCTGTGGAACTGTGGGGTTGCATAAGCATAACTAAAAGTCAGTGGAGCCTTGCGTCATTTTGCAGATCTATCCATTGCTTATTCTCCACAACAACAGATCAGTTTTGTAGCTCAGTTGACACAAATCCCTAAATGTTAAGAGGGCATCAGCAAGCATGGCAAGTTGGGAAATCCTTTAAGTCATAGAAATCAGATAGGATAATGCATTATTTTGTTGTTGCCACAACCTGCTGTCCAGTTAGACGTGTGCCTTGGTGTTCTGTGAAGAGAGCTTTGTCAGAGTAATGCCCTGGAACAGCTGAGCATGCCAGCTACATAAACCTGATTTGTCTGGGCAGCTGTGCTTGGAAGATGGGTATGGGTGCTATGCCTGGCTGCTGTGGAAGCAAGACAGTCTCTTTTAAGCCTTAGAAAAGGCATCTTTACGTGTATAGAGCTGAGAACCTGGAATGTCTTGGCAAGGGAGATACCTGCAGTGCACATGGGTGTGTTAGCAGCATCAGCCCGAGGCTGGCAGGTCCAGCATCTGCCCCCAGTTTTATGATTCCAGCTCAGCACATTGCAGGATTTGGTTAGGAGGGTGTGCTTCTTCCCACTGAACCTGAGGTTACAAGAACTTAATCTCCTGTGGTTCTGACTTTTAAGTCATAGAATATGTAATGAATTTTCTGATCCAGACTCTGGCTTTGTTTTCAGGGGTTGTTTTTTTATCATCTTTTCTTTTGCTGGTTTAAAGATCTCCCCAGGTGAGAGACTCTGAAGGGGTGAGTACGGTGACATCAGTCATTGCTCTCCTCGTATCCTGATTACCCAGCACTGACCAGGTAATATATGTAGAATATATACTACTATGTGTAGTATATGATAGAATATGTAGGACTTTGCCTAACATATTCCCCAAACTATTTTTTTTCTGGCATAGAAATACAAAATAGAGAATTTTCACTCTTACTTTCACATTTGAAGTTACTGAAGACAGTTTTCAAAGGGAGTGTTAAATGTGACCCATAAAGGCTGCTGTGTTGTGTATGTTGTAGGTAAAGAAGCCACTTTCTCACTGTAAGTGAGCTTACATGACTCAGTGTAGTGGTCTCTTTACATGGATGTCTATTTGGTCAGTTGCTTTGTGTATTTCATATGATCATATGCCTTGTGTTTGCTTTTAAGACCCCTGAGACAGGGAATGCATTTGAGTAGTGCCCTGTAGAGTGTATTTCCTATTCCAACGGGATGAAATGAAAAATCAAATTACAGCAATGTGATGGTATCCATGTGTGATTATTTCAGTTTTAAAGAGAATGTCATTCAACTGAGGCACACAGGCGACACCTACCAGTTTATCATTGTTTATGTCTCCAGGTTACATTTTAAACCATTCCAGACCATTACTACATTGAAACAGAAAAATATATTCCTTAAAAATACAGCTTTTCCAGTCATTAATCATGATGGTATCTTGGAATCTGAAACTCTCAAATGGCAGCAGGCAGCCCCAAACCTTTGTTTTAATCCTAGGCAGAAACAATCCACTAATAATTATCACTTGGAACTTCCTACTGTATTTTCAAGTAAAAAATCCTCATTTGATCTTAATAGGTGAGGGAGGGACGAAGTAATTGCTTCATGGATCCAATTTACTTGAAATAGATAATTCTTAATTGAATTGACCAGTGTCCCTTGGGTATAAATGAACAACTCATGTTCTTATCTTATTTGAAATTAAAACTAAACCAGATAATGCTTTTCAAAGTGAAACATCTTACTCGGAGGAGTTGCTGCATACTCACATACTTATCTCACATACTTACTTGCATCCTTAGGTGGAACTAGAGCAATACTTATTTTCTCATTTAGTGGTTATCCTTTTCCAAGCAGCTCTCTGCAGGATCAGTGTCTCCAAATTTTATTATAGCTTTTTTTTTTTTTTTTTTTTTTTTTTTTCCAATTTGTGTGTCCTTAAAAAAAGTGTGCATGCTGCCTGGTGTCAAGAGGAAACAAATTAACTTGAACTTCTATAGGGAGCTAGAAAATGAAGTGTTCCGTAACTGACAAGCAGCTTGAGATGACTGGACAAGTTCCCTCTTTATTCATCTAAAATGTGCCAGTTGTTTAGCAGAACATCCCTGATAATGCGAGTGAATTGCAGGGTAAAACCCAGTTGGATGTCATCATGTTCAGTACTTAAATGAGAACACTGAGGGATTTTGTGTTTCTAAGGGAAAGAATTGTCATTGTTGTCTTCTGGTTTGTGTTACTTGAAGTTCCCCAAGAAAGTTTCCTCTTAGGAGGAATAATGGAG